ACTCAACAAATTCCTGCCACAGCAGTGTCCCTACACCTCCCTGTTCTTGGAAATGTGTGTGATTTGAGGCTGGTCTCAAGCCTCCTTACCTCTGGGTATTGACAGCTGTGTATCTCAAGCCTGGTAGGAGAGGGCATCTGGGCCCCAGTGTTCATGTACAGACCAGTTACAGGAGGGTTCTGGGGGGGGGAGGGGGAGGGGGACCCAAGTCTTTAAGACCTGCTGCAGCTCCACAACAAAAAGCTGATTTACAAAGCATCAAGGCAAGGCAGCTCCAAGTATTCCTGGCAAGTACAGCACAAGCTCACAGCTTCCCAGGCAACTGGATTTCAGAACAAAAGAATTCAAGGTAAGCAGATTGGCAGAGCTGGCAGAGCTGGGCCTGGAGATGGCCAGTCCAACTTCCTCACTGGCAGATAAGAATACAGACCCAGACAAAACTAATGAATGGTGCTAGAGATGAAAACTGTCATTACCCGGGCTTCCCTGGTGGTTCAGATGGTAAAGAATCTGCCCAAAATGTGGGAGACCTGGGTTCAATCCCTGGGTCAGGAAGATCCCCTGGAGAAGGAAATAGCAACCCACTCCAGTATTCTTGCGTGCAGAATTCCATGGACAGAGAAGCCTGGAGGGGTACAGTTCATGGGGTCACAAAGAGTTGGACATGACTAAGCAACTAACACAGCATTTGATGGAGGTATTTATCAAGAGGCAGAATGAGGAAGCCCACTGGGATGATGGGTTTGATCTAGGTAATGCCTGTACAGTGTCTACAAATGTGGAAACTCACTGAACTGTATACTTAAGATGTGTATACTTAAATGTAAAAGCATACCTCAGTAAAAGAATAAAACAAAATAAGGCCCAGAGAGAGATAAGGTGATTGCAAATGTGTGCCAAGACCAAGCCTCAGGCTTCCTGATGCCCCGTTCACTGTCCTCACCCCACCCCACTGCATTTTTGCTACTATAGCAAAACGCTCTCATAGCCTATGGGTCAGCTTTGACCAAGGTTGGAAACCCACAGCACATGACACCTGAGGCCAAGGAAAGTCAGTACGGTGTGAGCTGGAGTTACAAACTGGGGGGTATTTATACTGAGCAAGGTTCAATGATCAGTAATAATAATAATAATAATAATAATAATATCATCATTGCAATAGTAATAGCTAAACATTTATTGAGCCTTTACTATATGCTAGGCATTATTTTAAACGTATTAAATCCTTACAACACTGTTCTTTATGGTATACACCATTATTAATCCATTATTAATGGATTACACCATTAATAATGGATACACCATTATTAATCATATTTTACAGGTGAAAGAAATAGGCCCACATTAAAAAACCTGTCCAAAGGTTCACAACTGGAAAGTTTCAAAGCTGCCATTTGGACTCAGGCAATCTGGCTCCAGAATCCATGCTCCTTACAGCATAGACTGCCCCATACTGAATCACCTGCAGCTGGCAGACTCAGCTTGAACAGGCACCCACCATCCCATAGAGGAAACATCTGACATGTGGCCAGAGAGGTAGATGAACATCAACACCACACGTTTCCACCTAGATTCGTTAAAAGCAAGTTCACCTATTGTGTCTTGGATCATACGTATTGCAATGCAGAGAGGGAATTTACACAAAGATGGAACTACTATGACCTTGGTCATCTTGACCCACACTCAGGAACAACTGAAACTCAGGTGCCTGACTGCATTAACAATCAGAGAAATGAAAATTAAAATTACAACATGATAGCACTATACAACCACCACAATATCTAGAAGTTTAGAAAAACAGATAATACTGAATACTGTCAAGGATGGGGAAGGACTACAGCTCTTATATATGTCTGGTGGGGTAAAAACTAAAACAACTACTTAGGAAAACTGTTTGACAGTGTATTAAATGGCTCTGGCTGCCATAACAAAATGCCACAGACTGGGTGGCTTAAAGGAAGATGGAACTACCTATGACCTTGTTTATTTTTTCTCAGTTTTGGAGTTGGGAAGTCTAAGATCAAGGTGTTGACCTGTTCAGTTTCCGGTGAGAGTTTCTGGTGCAAATGGCCACCTTCTTGCTCTGTCCTCACGTGGCAGAGAGTGTGATGGAGCACTCTGGTGGTTCTTCTTAGAAGGACACTATCCCCATAAAAATCAGTGTTCCACTTTATGACCTTATTTAACCTGATTACTTCCGTACTCCGCATATAGACAGGCTTAGCACTTCAAAACGTGAATTTTGGAGTGACACATTTTCAGTCTATAGCATTCTGCTCTTGGCCCCCCAAATTAATTTTCTTCTTTCATGCAATGTACATTCACTTCATCCCAACAGCCTTGAAAGTCTTAACTCATTTCAGCATTGACTCTAAAGTCTAAAGTCCAGTTATCATCTAAATCAGACATATGTGAGACTCAAGGTATCATTCATTCTGAGGCAGAATTTCTCTCCAGCTAAGAACCTGTGAAATCAAACAAGTTATACACTTTCAAAATATGATGGTGGGACAGGCATAGGAGAGGTGATCACATTCCAAAAGGGAGAAACTGGAAGGAAGAAAAGGGTAGTGGGTCACAAGCAAGCCCAGAACACAGAAAGGCGAAATTCCACTGGATCTTAAGGCTCAAGAATAACCACTTCTGTCTGGATACTCTGCCCTCCAGGCCCATGGGGGTGGCAGCATCACCCCTCACTGCTCTGCAGGGCAGCCTGCCCCTTTGGCTCTCTGGAGTGGTCCTGCCCAAGCTGCTCAATGCTTTGGTCCCACACCACTGGCTTGGGGCAGGGTCATTCTGGCCCACTGAAACCAGAGTGGCAGGCCCATCCTTTGAGTGAACAGCCTTACCCTGGGGCCAGTGGTAGGAGTAAGGACTTGTGCCCTGATGATCTCTCAATCACCTTCAGTATCCTTCGTCCCTTTTCTTTAGGGATAGTACATGTTCACAATTGAATAGCTTTATGGTCCCATCTTATAGAATCCAAGAAGTCCAATAGTGTTCCTTTATCTTTCCCTGATTTATCTTTACTTCAAACTGTCAGTGTCCCCGCTGGTATAAGCCCCTCTCTGTTGATGCCTTCTGCTGTGAGATAGTTGATTAAGTCCAAGAGCCCCACCCTTTATCTCTTAATCAAATGATTGTTCAGTAGCACTTCTGCTATTCTCTCCAAATCAACCTTTCTCATTTTTTGTAATGTGGATAGGCCGAGAATTTCCCAGACCTGCACAGTAAGGTTAAATGAGGTCATAAGGGCAGAGCTCTGATGCAATAAGATTAGTGTCCTTTTAAGAAGAGACACCAGACAGCTTGCTCTCTTTCCCCCTTGCCACGCAAGGACACTGTGAGAAGGTGACTATCTGCAAGCTAGAAAAAGAGAGACCAACTCAGCTGGCACTATGATCTTGGACTTTCAGCCTCAGAACTGTGAGCAATACATTTCTATTGTTTAAGCTATCCCGTTTCTGGCATTTTGTTACAGCAGCCCTAGCAGACTAATATAGGCAGTGTCTACTAAAAGTGAACATACATCAACCCTATACTCAGTGATTCGACTTCTAGGTTTAAAGCCAGAAGAAATGAGTACATATGCACACAAAAAGACATGGACAAGAATGTACATAGCAGTAGTATTTGTAATATTCCCAACCTGGCAGTCTCCCAACTGTCCATCAACAGTAGAATATATGGTAAATAAGACATGTTCATAAAACAGAATATGACATGATAGAAAAAAAAATGAAAAAACTACAACTATATATACCTTCATGGACACATTTTACAGAAATAATGATGAAGGAAAGATTCCAAAATGAGAAAGCATATACCTTATGATATTATTTACATAAAGCTCAAAGCAATACTGGTTTTGTTTTGTTCTTTTTGACCTGGGTGCTGTTCTACAGGTGTGTTTGCTCTGAAAGTTTATTACTCTGTACACTTTGTCTATTTTCTATTTGTCTATTTTCTGCATATATGTTATATGCTAACAAAATATTTGCATAAAAATAGTCACTCATTTAAAATGTTACACCATTCTAATAATGGAGAGTGAGTTGATATACTGTGTGGTGTGAGGATAATGTGATCTGCTGACTGTGACTGACCAATCAGTGGCCACAGCAGCTTGGCCCACAAATAGGACAAGGTGGTAGAGATCACAGTGGGCAATTTCTGGGAAATCTTGGGATAGTACACTAGTGACACATCATGGTATCCTTCAGTTGTATAACCTTCAGTTTAGGCAGGTAACAGCTCTTTAAAACACTTAACTTCAACTGCATAAACACATGTATCTTCTATACTAAAGTATCTTTTAAAAATCATTTTATACTTCTGGAGGTAATTTAAGTAAACTCTGAAAATGCCAAGTCATAATGGGTCAGTCTAGGGTGTTCTTGGTCACTGTCCATTGTACTTTGTTGAATAAACCATTTTTCTTGCCAGTGTCTCAATGCCTTCTGTGGATATCTAAAGCCTAGGTTATGAATGGGGAATTTTAGGGGGATAACTTACTTTTCTGGTAGCTTCCCTTCATTCTCTGCTAGAAGATCAGAAGACCTAGAAAGGATCTCACGGCTATAAATTTTGGTCCCAGCTATGATGGACCAAAGGGCAGAACCTGAGGCACTCTAAAGAGATTCTGAGGTGTCAGGGAGTCTAGGGGAAACTTAGGGCTCCTTCCAGCCAGGGAAAGGCATGGTTGCCAGAGCCAGGACTGTAATCTATGACAGTCTCCCCAGTGGAGGCAGGTGTCTCTCTTTAGAGACATATCACCTTCCTTGTGCCCACCCCAGGGGATCCTGGCATCCCAGCCTCTGCTCCTTTAGACTCCTTCCAGGCATGTAAATATGACTCTCTTTTTTTCCTCATGAGGATACTTTCTAATGAAAAGCCCCCAAGGTCCATGGGCCCAGAGTAGCCATGACAGACTTTAGCTTTTCTTTTCCCACCAGACACATACATGCACACGCCCGGCATGGGGATCTCAGAACACTCACCTGGGGCGTCATCCCATGGCAGATGTACACAATAGGAACATTCTCTGTCTCTGGGCCCTGATCAAGACACAAATCGGTCTTCAGGGAGTTCTGCAACTAAACACCAGATGAGAGGCAGTCACATAAGAGAGAAATAAAACGTTAAATCAGGAGAAACAAGCATTCCACTGAGACAGGCTCTGCTCCCAAAGTCAACTTTTCTTTCAGTCAACCCTGAATACTACAGAAATCAACAAGTACCAACAAATACCAAGAAACCAACAGTGTTGGCCTTGCATAAAGGTGCTGAAGGCAGAGCAGCCTCCTCTGAAGGATAAGAACTCAGATGCTGTTAAACAACATGCTGGATTTGGGGAGCTGAGAGGGTTTAGGTAAAATTATGACATGCGCGCACACACACAAGATGGTGCTACACTTCTCATCCTCTCCTTTTGCACAAGGGCGGCATAATGGCCCACAGAAGTCCCTGGATAGAAGACTTTGTTTCTGACGCTTGGGGGAGGTGAGGAACATGCCAGCTCTTTGGGGGCCTGGGATGTCCCCTGGGATCAGGCCTTCTTTGTCTCCTTCAGATCCAGCAGTGGTTGGCCAGGCCCCAGTGGGGACCCAGCTGATGAAGTTTCCCTAGAGCGGAAGGTCTGGTGGGTTAATAAGAGAGAAGGGGACCAGAGAGGGAACAGGAGAGGGGAGAGGTGTCTCTTATTCTCACCTACAAACACGTGCCAATCAACAGTACAAAAGTACTATGAACCAATATCTTAGCACATCTAGGTAGGAAAGCTGATATTCAATGTCCCCTTCTGGCTTAAGCCCACTCTCAGCCCTTGGAAAGGGCAGCTTATGGTTCACGTCGCCCTGCTTACATGCCACAGCTGAAGAGGTCAGGGAGGGTACCAACTCATAGTTCAGAATGAATTAACAATTCCCTTTCTTTCCTCCTCTCTCCCCATCCTTCTCTTTCTGGAATATGACTGTCTCATCATCTTCTTATTCTGCCCTAGGAATCCTGACGAGAGACAAGACACCGTGCTCAGTGGGTGATGGCCACTCAGATTGTGGGGCCATTTAGATAGGGTATGGGGTCTCTGCTGGGCTTGTGCAAGCAGAGAAACCCAGCTGTGATGAGGGGGGAGATGAAGCAGGAGGCAGACGGATTTAGAGGCAAGAGAGATGATCCTGCCCCCATTGTGATTTTCGTGGCTTCTCAGCACGAGTGCCCGGGTCCAGCTGTACTTCAGTTCCTGGGCCTGTAAGAGAACTTATGGTATCTTTACCCACCTACACTGAAGCTAGCTTACATAGCTCTTCTTAGTGATCAAAGCACTCTATTTACAACTGGAGGCTGGAGATTGGGATCCAGGGGAGACCAGGGTAATGGACCATGGGTGGGTCATCTATCTGGGGAGGGCCAGACACAGACAGTGGCTAAATTTTTGTAGTCTTCTTGGATGTGGTAGGAGTACAATGAACCCAATTAAGGAGTGTGAAGTGCAACAGATAACTGGAGGCCCACACTTGATCTATGAACATCCTGTTTTTGACAGGGGACAAAGAACAGAGCCAAATTCTTTTCTTTTGAGCTCCCTTTCTCTTACTGGGTGATAGCAGCTCAATCTCAAACTTGGAGTTTAGAGGTTCTGAAGAAATATGAACATGTGTCAGCTCCTTAGGCAGGGCCCCAGAAGCATCCATGCAACATAAAATCCTCTATCATAAACCAACTACCTGACTGACCCATGTGGGAGAAGCATATGCAAATATTCCCTGGACTCCTCCCACGGCCCACAGAGGGCTGTCTGTCACATCTGAAGCCGGGATCTATTAGTGAGACCTGCATAAAGTTTCAGAAAGCCCTGGTGTCAGAGATGGCTCTCCTGTGGGACCCCAAAGCTGGCTCTGAATGAGGGTGGGTGGTGACTTCTGATAAAGTCCTCTTTGATTCTGCGTCATCCATCCCCCATTAAGCAGGTTGTCTGTTGAAGTTGGGAGAGACAGGCTGAAATGAAATCCTGGCTCCAGCTGTTTGGTCTTGGGCAAAGCAACATAACTCCTTGTCTGTTTCCTTCTCTCTCTCAAATATGGATAATTATAGTGCCAACCTCATGAGTTTGTGGATTAACTGAAATAATCTCTGCAAGTGCTTAGCATAGGGCCTGATAAATAGCAAAAGTGTGATATAATTGTTAGGTGCTATTATTACTGCAATAACTATCCTGAAAGCCATTCAGGGAAGTTAGCTTTTATGAATGCATCTATGTGCCAGGTACCAGGAAAAGGGCTTCCCATGCATTATCCCTCCTAATCCTCAAAATTACTCAGCCAGGTCAGTAATATTAACTCTCTTAAGCATGCAGGAAGTGTGTTGTAGCAAGGAGCTCTGCCTCACCTCTCGGTCTGTAATGCTGTTCCCACCACATGGACCTTCTGCTTTGGCCTTCTCTTTTCCCTGACAACCCTCCTCCTCCTGTGGTTCTCAGCCTCTCCGCCACTCTGGAAGCCTTTCCTGACCTGCATCTGGGCGTGAGGCCACCACACCTCCATTTCTCTGATCGCAGCACTTACACACTGTATTCTTGTCACTTCTCTGCTTGCCTGGCTCCTCTATCCATCACCAGACTAGGTCTCAGGCTTACTCACTGCCTGTGACACAGGACAGTCCTGGCACATATTAGACAGTAAGTACATACGGGATGAATGAGCAAAGAAAATGAGTAATGAATGAATGGCCTCATAGTTGGAAAAATGGCAGAGCTGGAGTCTGTCTCCAAAGTCCAAGCTCTTTCCATCATCAAATGGTGACAATCCTGAGACTGTGAAAGATGACCCATGAAGTGATATGACTCTAACCTTTAAGGTTTTACAAACTGCCAGGGTTACACAGTGATTAAGTAGCAAAGCTAACTTTCAGAAGTAGGCATGTCTGTTTCTGGATGCTACTCCATCTCTCCTGTCAGCACCAGAGCTGGGATCATTCAAAGTCATGCTGTCTCCCAGGTCTGGAGCTCAGTAATCCTAGAGGAGGCCCATGCCCACACTGCAAGGCCCATGATCCTTCTGACTGCCAGAGGCATTAATGAGACCTTTTACTAGATTAATGGTATGGGTTATACAGACTTGACAGTGGCCTGAGAGTTCTGAGGGGTTATCTGACCTGAGCAATGAAGTTTAGGCATGAGTTGGAGGGGAAAAAGAAAAAAAACCTTTACTGAGAAGACATCTGGTCTCTCCACTTCAGAATAAAAGTAATCACCAGGAAGAAAGATTCAGTTCCACAAATCCTCTTGCTCTTGCACTGCATCCTGCCTCAACCATTGTCACCTTACTGCCCTAGTTGAGTTCATTATGCTCCTGGACAAGCAAGTGTCTCTGCTCACGTAAGAGCCCAGCCATGGAAGAGGCAGGAGAGAAGGGGTCCAGTTGAGCTCTGAACAGTAGCCGGCAAATGAACATGCACAGGGTCACAGAAGTTCTGCCATTCCCAGGAATGGCTGACACAGCTCAGCCTTCTGGAGTGGTGGGAGGATGGGTTTTCAGCATGACAATGTGAAAACAGCCCCCACTGTGGACTCAGCCAGATCTAGATCACAACATGGATATGCCACTTACTATTTGACCAACCAAAGGTTTCTGGGTGTGATCTGGGTGAGGGGTCTACATGGTAAATGTGCTATATGTACTCCTAAGATGCGACTCTTATGCTTAGATGACTGGAATGCCTTGGCCCCAGACCCAGGATTGCAATGGCTGCGTGCAAACACCTCCACTGTTACGCCTCTCTGGCTGAGTTTGGCGAATACTTTTAGCTACAGCTGATAGCTTGGTGAGACCATGAATCCAGAAGCTTGCCTTGGCTCTCAGAGGCCTGGGCCAACAGCTTCTCTGGAGCCACAGTAGCATGACTGTCCTAGTAACCAAGCAGCACATAATGTGCTGTGGGCAGTGTATCAGCTGTGTCCTCAGGATGGTTCCGGGGAGGTGGATGGGTGGATGGGCACCTCACAGTCCAGTGTGCTTCCATGGCGAAGACAGGATCTGGGGCATCAGGCAACAGCTGAGCGGCACCAGCTGAGGAGTTTGACATCTGAATTATACCAGCCTGAGAAGGGGAGAGGCTACTGGGTGGTTCTCTCAGGACAGGTCAGCCACAACATGGGGACTCTCATGGGAAGACACGACCCCCTCCGATAGTCAGGCCTCCAGGGACAACAGAGGCCCTGCAGGGGGTTAGAAAGGGGCAGTTCCTGGGACCCTGGCTCTGTCTCCTTTAGAATCCTAGGATGTGAGCATTGGCAGGCCCATGGGAACAATGAAGCCGGCCCTTCAGCAGAATTCTTCCTCTCCAGGCTGAGGCTGTGCCCATTAAGTTCTTGTTGAGGCGGGCCTTGAACTCAGTTCTGGCCACAGACCATCAAAGGAAGAATTCTTCCTTCAAGTTTTCATCCTGGGATATCTAAAAGTTCTGAGGGGACACTCCAAGGGGAGGAATGGGAGTGATATCAGAAGGTGATGCTCTAGACTCAGTTTCACTCAGGTTGACGACTTGTGTGGACATGGGCAGGTCACTGTGCTTCTTTGTTTCCCCATCTGTAACACAGCAGGGGCAGGGAGTGAGCCTAGTAACCCCAGGGGATAGTTATGAGGCTAATTGTGAGGGCTTAGCTGTCATAGAGAATCTTCATGTGTTCGCTCAGCAAAAACCAGGAAAGATATCCAAAAATCAATCAGGTATTTAAAATACCTTAAGAGTTGTAATGTCCTGGGGATATTGGAAGCATGGGGAGAGTTTATCATCTTCAAAGTATTTTAACCTCTGACACAAAATACATTTCTATATCGGAGACTTTCTTCTACCCATGAGGACAGCATTATTTTATCCCACTTAACATATGAAGAAACTAAGACTCATAGACATTAAGGCACTTGCCCAGGAAGTGGCTGGGTCAAGATTGGAACCGGGTCCATGTGGATCCAAACCCTCTGCTCTGCCTCTCTGTCTTGCTGCCTCTGCTGGGGGAACTGCCAATCAATAAGTGGTACTAAAACATCACTCAAAATCCAATGAACTCTGGAAGGATATGTTTCCCAAATCTGCTTTCTAGGAGGCTCTGCGTGGATGGAAGACATAGCACCTTGGGCAAGGGAGGCATGCAGGCTGGTCGGTAGAATCTCAGGCACCCATGCTTGGGAAACAGTTGGGGTTGTCTTGCAATCTTAACTTAACTGCATGTTTTTGCTTTACTAAGTGGCATATTCATGTTCGGGGCCAGAGCTGAATTGCTTAGGATTGAAAGGAGAGACTAAGCACCTTTCTCAAGGGAATGGAGAGGTGTGGGCTATGAACGTATAGGCTACTTCACATGAAGTTCCAGAAATCAGCCTCTTGTCCACAGGTCTACCACAGGTCCCACTTGGGTGGATGTGTCTGGATGAAACCCCAAGGGTGGGCTCCTTACCACCCCGTAGGCAATGATGTCCGAGTACATCCTCATTTCTGGGTACACGCTGACCAGGTACCACCGGAAGGTCTTGCACTGCAGCTGTTTTCTCAGAGCTTTCCTTGCAGTGATGTCCCCAATGTCAATTCCTGAGTCCTGTGCAAGATGCAAACACAGAGATGCAGTCACCACCATGGTACAACTTTTCCCTGAGCCTCCCTAACCACAGTTCTGGAGACTGCCTGGTGAAGGCATTACCTGGGAACTTAACTCAGGCATTTCCCCATGTGTGCCTTGGCCCCATAACCACACCTGTTTGGTCTGCAAAACAGGAGATCAGCACTGACGGGGACTGTTATCAAAAGCCATTGAAAATAAAGGGACTAAATCCTTAAAAATTACTAAAGAAAAAAAAGCTGTAGTCTTTGTGTAAGTAAAAGAAATGGAAGAATATAGTCTGAGTAATGTTATCACTTTGATGATAAATGTCTATATAGTCAAAGCTATGGTTTTTCCAGTAGTCATGTATGGATGTGAGAGCTGGACCATAAAGAAGGCTGAGCGCCAAAGAATGATGCTTTCAAATTGTGATACTGGAGGAGACTCTTGAGAGTCCCTTGGACAGCAAGGAGATCAAGCCAGTCAATCCTAAAGGAAATAAGTCCTGAATATTCAGTGGAAGGATTGATGCTGAAGCTCCAATACTTTGGCCACCTTGCGTGAAGAGCTGACTCATTGGGAAAGATCCCAATGCTGGGGAAGATTGAAGGCAGGAGAGAAGGGGGCAATAGAGGAAGAAACTGTTAGATAGCATCACTGACTCAATGGACATGAGTTTGAGCAAACTCCAGGAGATAGTGAAGGACAGGGAAGCCTGGTGTGCTGCAGTCCATGGGGTTGCAAAGAGTTGGACATGACTGAGTGACTGAACCAACAACATGGTTACCTCTATCTCAAAAGATAAGATGAGAGATTCTGAACTGTGTGCGGAGAGGGAGAGGAAAGGAAAATAATTGAAGATGGAATACTGCTAATTCTAATACTATTCCTAGTGCTCAGGGAAGCTAAGGCTTACATAACACAATGTGCCAGGCTCTGTTCTATATGAGACAGACACATATATTTTTATATTTTGCTTATATTAAATTTTTAGGATTCCGTGGCAGCTCAGCTGGTAAAGAATCCGCCTGCAATGCAGGAGACCTCAGTTCGATCCCTGGGTTGGGAAGATCCCCTGGAGAAGGGAATGGCTATCCACTCCAGTATTCTGGTCAAGAGAATTCCATGGACTGTATAGTTCATGGGGTCGCAAAGAGTCAGACACGACTGAGTGACTTTCATTTTCACTTTACATTAAATTTACATATATGGCCCTATTTAAACTCACGAGGGAGCACAATATAACCCTCATTTTACGGATGTGGGAGGTTCAGTGACGTCCTGGGTGACTTGCCCAAATCCCACAGCTAGTAAGTGATGGAGTTGAAAGTTGAACCCAATCAGCCTGGGTCTGGAGTTTGTGCTTTAAAGTTTAGAGGGCATTTGCAGGAGCCTGCCCTCCTGCCTGCTTAGACCAAGTACTTGTGGAAGAAGCAGAGCCCCTCTCTCTAAGCCTGGCGGGGGCTGCTTAGCATATACAGTACTGTGTCCCTCATTTCCCAGGTGTACCAAAGAGGTGGCCCTGAGCCATTGAGGTGCAGTAGGCAAGGAGCAGTCACAGAGACAAGGGTACGTCCTTGAGTGAGAGCGAGAGAGAAGCCCCCACATTTCTGTGGTCCCAGGAAGCCCTGAGACCTGCACCCCAGCTGTTGAACAGGGCACAGAATCAGCTGAGAAAGAGCTGATGCCACAGCAGAAGATGGAGAGGGCTCCCTCCAGCTGGGGATCAGATGGAGACAGGTGACATCTCAGAGGATGACACCATGGAGCCAGGGACCAGCCGAGGCAAGTGTCATCTCATGAGATACCAGCCCAGAGCGGAGACAGGAGGGTAGGGAAGCACAGGTCTCTCCCTCTGACACTGCAGCCCATGGGCCGCCAGTGTGACCCATCTGGTCCTACCATCAATTCTGGGATCAAGTTAGTGGGGTTGGGAAATTATGAAATTGGCAGTTTAACTGAAATGCCTGGGAAAAACCACAAAGAGAGTTGCTGCATGTATCTGGACATGATCAGAACACATTTTTGATATCAGACAATGGGGGCCTGAGTCAAAACAAAAATAGATATAGAAGAAATATATTTATTTTTGTCTACTGGAGTTCAGGTCATGTAAAGATTTGAACTTGCTACAGCCTGAAGGTTTAAGTTCTGGAATCCCAAGGTGCAATTTCAGTGAGATTATGCCCTTTGAGCATTGCTTGATAACCTCTTCTATGATTGGTCTGCTCCCCAGCTCCTGCCCAGAGCCTTCCCAGCAACTTCTACTTGGCCCTTTTCTGCTGGACCCCCACTCTCTGAAGGTCAGGAAACATGTTCTGCTGATCTCTGTGCCCCTAGTCTAGCACTGCACCTGAACTCTACTGATCAGACCGAGTTGAAAAAATATGTATGAAACAATGAACACAGCAATTGACGATAAATGTATCCTGGTCAACCCTCTGTTAAGTATTAACTTAAAGAAATCTGTTAAGTACTAACTCTTTAAATTTCTTTGTACTTTACCCTTACATCACGAAGTTATTTGCCTGGACCCAGGACATCCCACTTTATGCTATAATGTCTTTATGTGATGACAAAAGAACACTGTCTCAGCTTTTACAGAAAGCCACTAGAAGAATCTGTCTCAGGAAGACTTCTGTGTTTTCCTTAAAAATCTAGGTTTCCATGGGAAAACTTCCTTTCTACATTCAGGATCAAGGGAGAGTTTGTCTCTCTACTTATAACCTAATCAAAAGTGGGAGAGAGACAATACATCTACTTTAGAGAGATAGTACACTCTACTATAACTTCTAGGAGACTCAAGAAACAGAGTTTTGCTCAGCTTGTATGTCTGGATATCATGTCCCTTTCCCCTTCCTGTTTATTAACTGACTTTTGCCTTCCCATTTTAATGGTTCAGCACATCTGTACTGTGTTGTTCGCTCTAAATTGCATCAAACTCTATTTCGGAGCCGGAGGCAGAAATTGGGAAATAAGCAAGCTTCCTCAGAGAAGGTCACCTTGACCCTTATTATTAGAAAACAATACACGTATCTTCCCTTTGTGCCAAGCAGTTAGTGTAGAGGGTTGAACAGTGCCCACCCAGAACCTCTGAATGTGACCTTATTTGGGAAAAGGGTCTTTGTGGATATAGTTAATTAGAGATGTTGAGATGATTCTGGATTTAGGATGATCCTAAATCTTTATGAGAGAAAGGAGAGGAAACACAGAGACAGAAGCATAGACTGAAAAGACACATCTACAAGCCAAGGAACCCAGAGAGCCCCCCACAAGCTGGAAAAGGCCAGGAAGGATCTTCCCCCCGGGCCTTTGGAGGGGGCGTGGACCTGGCTGTCCCTTGACTGTGGGCTTCTGACCTCCAAAACTACCAGAGAACACATTTCTGTTGTTTTAAGCCACCCAGTTTGTGGTAATTTGTTTTGGCAGTCCTGGGACACTAATATACTTAGCCACAAAAAAAGCTGTCCAGTATTCCTGCCTGTGTGTGCAGCCACACACAAAATTCCTTGTAGCCAAACCTCGAGAATGGTGGTCGCCTAACAACCACGGTGAGTCATCCTTGGCACTCAGCCCGTTTTCAGGCAAGAGGAAGCAGGGGCGAGTCTAGAGTTTCCGAATCCTGCGTAAGGAAATATTGATGCTTTGCTGCAGACTGACTTTCTGTTTGCTGATAAGCAAACTGACTGTCAATTAAAGGAGAGGAAGCATGAGTGAAAGGCTCCTCTGATCTTCCAAAAGCTTGGGACTGCACGTAGTAAGGGAGTGGCTGAGAAAGCTGGTTCTCTTCAGTGCATGGCCCAGAAAGAACTCTGCATAAAGGGCAGCAAGGGAGGATGACTGCCTGACAAGGGCATTCTAAAGCTCAGGTGAGAAGGCAGAAGGTGCAGGTGATGACATCGGCAAAAAGAATTTACACTTCTCTAACACTTTCTATGAGTGACTGAACTGAACTGAATGCTTTCTATTGGCCAAGCACTGATCAAAGTCCTTCCACATATTAACTTACTTAATTCTCCAAGTAGCCAACTAGGCAGGGTTGAAGGGTTCCAGCTCTGAATTTGTAGTCAGAAGCTTAAGTAAATTGAGAGCAGATGTGCCCGGGACTGAGCAGAAGGTATTGCGATGCTGCCACATCAAGGACAGCTTGGGAAAGTCCTGGGGAAAACACAGAGGGATGCAGAACCCACATTTCCTTCCTTTTGTTTCTTTTTCAACTCATCTCTACTGAGTGCCTAGACTGTGTCAGGCACTGTCCTAAGCATCATGAACATAAACAAGAAGAAGTAACATTCTGTCTGAAAGGAGAGTCTGAAAGATCCAGACAAGCAAACAGACTCTCTGCACAGAGTGTGAAGCATGGAGGGAAGCAGAGAGTGTTGGGCAATAGAAAGGGGGCCCTTGGTCATCTCATGGTATGGGGCAGCCAGGATGATGCGGAAGGGGAGGACAGCAGTCAAAGAAAACTTCCTGGAGTAGGTGATGCTATGGGTGAGCTGGGAAAGATGAGCAGGTAAATGAGTGTTACCCAAAACTGGCTTCCCCAAACCAGCACCTAGAGAGCTTTTCATAGATTCTGGCACCTCTACACACCTCCTCATCAAAATCCCTGAGGATGATACCCAGAATCAATATTTTTAAAAGGTTTCCAAGTGATTCTGATGCAATTGATCAGTAGATCTGTCTTTGGGAGTCAATGATCAAAGGAGAATGGGATCACACACATGGCCAGCAGATTCATTTGCTAATAAATGTTAGTGAGGTTTTACTGAGCCCTGACCATGCACCTTACTTGGGCTAGACCTGGTGAAACAAATAGGAATAACATAATCTGTCCTCAGGGAGCCCATGGTCTAGAGCAGTGATTCTCAGCCCTGGATGAACATTAAAATCCCCAAAGAACTTTCCAAAAAAAAAAAAAAAATCCTTAGTTCCCTTCCAAACCAATTAAATCATAATCTCTGGGGTGGAGCCCAAATGATTTTAAAGTTCAGCCAGATTTAAGAGCCATTGATCTAATGAGAGAGAGATTTTTCAGACAATGGAACATTCTCTTGCAGGGTAATGATGCAATGACAGAGACACGCAGGGGAAAGGGAGCATTCTTCCCAGATGGGACTGGCTTCTAAAGAAGATGTCAGCAGAGCTGAATCTAAAAGGATGAAGGAGAAGTGGCAAGAGTGGAGGCTGGGGAAGAAGTTTTGAGAGGAATTGCAAGCATAGAGGACAAAATGGGCCACCACAGAGAGATAAGAAACAGCCTGACATGGACAGGGCACTCAGGGAAGTGTCCCTAGTCCATGCCATCTGCAGAGCCTCCAAAATCAGGGTGGTGGGTGGTGGGACTGGGGCTGTGGTTGGAGGAGAAAGTGTAGATCCATGTCCAATGCTGGGCTCTATGCCTGATCCCGTGCACATGGAGAGTCATTTAAAGATTTCAAGTAGGACAATGACATGGTCATTGTGAGTTTAAAAAGATGACTTTGGGTACTGGGAAGGATAGATTTAAGGGGTAAGACTTGAGTCAGGGAAACCAGCCAGAGGCTCTTGCAGAAGAAGAGGCAAGGCTTGAACTCAGAAGTGAGAGGAATGGAAAGGTGGGCTCGGTAATGGACTGGGGATGGAAGATGATTAAAGAATGCCGCTCAGGAATAAGCTCACAAGCCTAAGCCGAGGGGGACATAGTGCATTTAGATAGAGGATAAGAACAGAAGCAGATTTGGAGAAGAAAGATATACTCAGTTTTGGTCAGATTCAGTCTGAAGTTCCTGTGGGAACAGCCAGGGGAAGATGTGCAGGTAAAGTCTGAAGCTAAAGGCAGGAGTCAGGCTAAACAGAATAACTAGGAGATCCTTTCCATGTAGGCAGTGTAGAATCCAAGAGTCGATTGGATTACCCTGCAGAGGTGTATCACAAGAGCAGGTGGCCAAGGACAGATCCCTGGGGAGCACTCAAACATCCGCTGGAAGTAAAAGTTTCTCACAAAGAGTTAGAAGCAGTCAGAGAGATGAGGACAATCTAGGGTGTGGAATCATGGAGCCAAGGGAGTGAAGAGTTTTAAGGAAAAGGTGGGATCCTCTAAGTTGAAGACTTTAACATATTCATTAAATTAAGCAGGTAGGAGGCCCATGATGACTCTGTCAAAAGCAGCTTCAAGGTAGTATTGAGATGTGACTTCAGAAGTGAATGGGAGGTGAAAAGTGGCTTTTTCCACAGGCTTGAGAGAGGCAGAAGGGGGAATTTGGACATAGTAGCGAACAGGGGGTCAAGAGGAAACACACTGACCTCTTCCTTCTCCTCCTAAAGGCTTTATCCTGGACATTTCCACCTCTCATCTGTCCTTCTTGTCTTACCCCCCAGCCCCCACCCGCTTGACTTGGTCTGAACTCCTCTAGGAGTCACCAGCAGACACTGAGTTTCATCATTTTCCAATTACTTTTACTCAAAGTACACTCAATTCTCTACCACTCTCCGGATTTGCTGTCTTATTTCAACATCTGTCAGCTGCAATGGCGGGGGGTGTGGTGGAGAGGGCTACAAAGTTTGAAGCATTACGGTGCAGAGCGAAGGGGGACAAGGGTATGGACAGGACCCCAGTCCTTTACAGAGCCCGGGGAACCACACTGCTTCGCTGGTGAGCTCCTGGGGAATTTCCAAGTGTGCTCAACATTTTGCTATCAGAGGACTCCCACAGCCGGGCTCAGCATCCTGCCCAGAGTGCTGTGATCCAACGCCCACAGCCACAGATGGGTCCAGAACGCACCACGGTTTCCCTAGAAACACTCCCACTATCAGAGCTGCGTTCGGGGCTGGTCCATCAAGGCTGGCTGCACTCCCGCTGGCACTGCTGGGGCTCCTCCTTCTTTCTCCCGACTGCTGAAGCCTCGCTGCTTGCACAAGGGTGCAGCCGACCCAAGACCCCACCGCCTGGTGGTGGCCCTTAGGGGGCTGCTTGAAACCTCCCTCCCGGCCTACTTTCTCAACCCCTCAGCCTGAGTTAAATATTAGCTTGGTGGAGACATCAGGAAACAAGGCCTTCACACGGAAACTTTAAGCAAAGATCAACCATTTTCCTGTCAGGAAGAGAGAGCAGAGGCTTTCCAAAGGACTCTCGAGGCAAAGCCATGGCCTTGGGCGGAAAGCAGGAGGTCATGCATTCAACAGCTCCACGTCACATAAAACGCAACTTAAGCAACGACCTTCAGGCAGACTGACTGGCAGGCAGGTGGGGATCCCGTGGCTGGCATCTGTTGGGTTCGCTTAACCCAGCTGTCCAAAGTCATTTCCATATGACACACAGCAAAGGTTTACAAAGCTTTACAAAGGTTGTACAAAGGTGTACCAGAGATACACCACTTTCTCTCTTGCCCTTTTTTAAAAAAATTTATTTATTTTTTAATTGAAGGATAATTGATTTACAGAATTTTGCTGTTTTCTGTCAAACCTGAGCATGAATCAGCCATAGGTATACATATGTTCCCTCCCTCTTGAACCTCCCTCCCACCTCCCTCGCCATCCCACCCCTCTGGGTTGATACAGAGCCCCTGTTTGAGTTTCCTGAGACATACAGCAAATTCCCACTGGCTATCTATTTTACGTATGGTAACGTAAGTTTCCACGTTACTCTCTCTATACATCTCACCCTCTCCTCTCCTCTCCTCTCCCCATGTCCATAAGTCTGTTCTCTATGTCTGTGTCTCCATTGCTGCCCTGCAAATAAACTTTAGTACCATCTTTCTAGATTCCATATATAAGTGTTCGTATACAATATTTATCTTTCTCTGACTTACTTCACTCTGTATAATAGGCTCTAGGTTCATCCACCTCATTAGAATGGACTCAGATACGTTCATTTTTATGACTGAGTAATATTCCATTGTTTTTATGTTCCACGATTTATTTATCCACTCGTCTGTTGATGGACATCTAGGTTGCATCCATGTTCTGTGCTAAGTCACTTTAATAGTGTCTGACTCTTTGCGACCCCATGGGCTGTAGCCCTCTAGGCTTCTCTGTTCATGGGATTTTCCAGGCAAGAATACTGGAGTGGGTTGCCATTTTCTCCTCCAGGGGGTCCTCCTGACCCAGGGATTGAGCCCATGTCTCTTTATATCTCCGGCATTGGCAGGTGGGTTCTTTACCACTAGCACCGCCTGGGAAGCCCCACATGTTGTAGCTACTGTAAATAGTCTCTTGCACTTCTTAAATATGGGTGACTAGAGGGCTAGGGGGCTTCCCAGGTGGCTCAGTGGTAAAGCATCTGCCTGCCAATATGGAGACGTGGGTTTGATCCCTGGGTCAGGAAGATACCCTGGAGAAGGAAATGGTAACCCACTCTGGTATTCTTGCCTGGGAGATCCCATAGACAGAGGAGCCTGGCGGGCTACAGTCCCTGGAGTCACAGGGAGTTGGACACAGCTTAGTGTCTAAACAATAAGAGGGCTACAGGACAGCAACAGACAATGATAAGTTCTCCGAAGGTAACAAGCAGCCTAAAAAATGCCCAGAACAGGTCCCTTCTCCTCCTGAGGGTTCCTGTGGGAGTGCCCCACCCATGTGGTTCAAGAAATCCCAAAGGTACAGGCATATTGCTTATTGGTTTGGTCAAAGGTCTGACAGAGAAGCTTGCATTCAGTCTACAGGGGTATTAAGGCACATTTGGTGAATTTTGGTAATTTCTGGGATATTTGTAATCTGGGACCATGAAATATCTACTGTCAGAGAAGCTGAGGACCTGGGAGCATGTTGGAACCTTGGAGCCACCTGGTTCAACTTTCTCAGATAGAATGAGGACATTGTGGTCTGGAGGGAAAGGTGCCCACTTTCAAGGAGGAGGTGACCAGAGATGGGGTGGGTAAGACATGTCTTAGCACCCCAAAGCACCCTACAGTCAGACCCTTTTCTTCAATATCCAGTATCTTAGGGTTGAGAGTTCACTCAGCATGGCAAATAAGACTCAGGCTGTCTCCTGGGAAGAAGAGTTTAGTTGCACATTTGCTTTGTTTGTTCCCCATCAACCTTCAAGAAAGCCAGCCCCGCAGGGGCTTCCTACCTCTTGGGGTATGTTCCATGCCATGTACACGTGGCTTTTAAATTCGTCCATCCAGACTTCAGCCACCCTGAGGGCGTTCCTGCGGACATGGGCGGTGAGGTCCTCGGTGTAGGGCTTGTGGGCTCGCTCGATGTGGGCAATCCGCGAGCAGGGCAGGACCTCCACGCTCCCGCCACACTGCCACACCTGCAGAAGACATGGAGCCGCTCATCAGTGCCCGGACTTGACTCTGAGCCTTGAACCCAGACCACAGGTGACCGTGAACAGGAGCTCGGGCACATCCAGCTCTCCTTACCTACTCTCCTGTCTGCAAAGGGAGTGAACCCTACTTTAATTCTACTCCTAGAGCAGGAAGGTTATTGAGTCATTCATTTGTGTCTTGTTTCCATTTGCTCTGGTTACCAGCAAAGAGTTAATGTATCCTTCCTCTCCAGTCTTTCCACCTTCCTTCCTCCAAAGAAGACACTAGACATTTTGTGACCAATGATCTGAGTTCTCCTTACCCCAAGTTAACAAAATCCTTGGTAATGGTCTCTGCAGCAGTGCTTGACATGGAGGGACCAGCAGAACCTCAAGGAGAGACATCAGATTACAACGGGCCATGAGGGCCTGGACAAGGATGAGCGATCTGCAGCTCATCTCCAGCCAGCGCCCTGCTCCCACTAGATCCTTCCTGGGCTCTGAGTTCTGATGGAACCCAAGGGAGGGGGAGGTTCAAAGAAAGGAATGATATGGAGCTTCTCCCTAGACTTCGGTGAGCCGGAGCTTCAGCGGGATGCTGTTCAGCTTTGAAAAATAAAGAGAAATGGCCTTGCAGCCTGAGTGTCGAGGGGCAGTGTCCTGGAGCCCTCGTCACAGTCATCCCAGCCACTCGGACGTCTAGCATTCTGGAACATGCATGTCCTTTTGTGCCTTTAGGCCTTTACTCATCCTATTTTCAATTTTTGGATGCCCGCCTTACTCTTCTCCCGCTGAAAAAAATTATCATCTCTCAAGATCTTGGCCACACTGTTGTGGGGTCTTGGCTCAGTTTTTGGGGCACAGCTGATGGCTCCCTCCTATGGCCCTCAAAGCTCTTGACACCACAACTTACCTGCTACTCTGTTCCTGGAGGGTAGAGTATCTCATTTATTTCTCTTCTCTAGCACTGAACACACAGCCTGGTACATATAGGTGTTTGGTAAGTACTTTTTGAATAAATATTTAAATGATTGGTGTATAACCAGACAATCAATCAATAAATGATTAGTGCTTAATAAAGTAGGATGGACCTGAAATACCTGATCAGAACTGATGAGTAAGACTTCGGGGAAAAGCAATCAAGATCTCTTGGTGGACAGCAGTGGTCATTTGTCAGGTATTGTCAATTGAACAATTTGGCAGATGATATTTGCGCCTATAACATGTACCCATCAACAACCACAGGTCTTTCTCTAAGGTAAGGTCAGTTTCAGGTTTAGCTTAATTTCCCCCTGTGTTGGTTAGGAAGAGGCTGCCTTCTCTTAGGCTTTTTCACACCAATTGGTCCCTGTAGGTAGCTAGAGTGGAAAGCAAGGGACTGACTTACCACTTTCTGAGCTTCTCTTGCATTTAGTATACCATTTATGGCCAGTGGACTTCCCTTGTGGCTCAGCTGGTAAAGAATCCGCCTGCATTGTGGGAGACCTGGACTCGATCCCTGGGTTGGGAAGATCCCCTGGAGAAGGGAAAGGCTACCCACTCCAGTATTCTGGCCTGGAGAATTCCATGCACTGTATAGTCCATGGTGTTGCAAAGAATCGGACACGACTGGGTGACTTACACTTTCGGGCCGATGGAAAGGAAACAAACATCCCCACTGAGCACCCACTATGTGCCAGCACTGGACTGTGCCGCATGGCGGTTATGAGCAAGGGGTTTGACCTCAGTCTGCTGGGATTCAAATCCTGGGTCTGTTTCATACTAGCTGTGTGACTGTGAGTTATTCACTTGATCTCAGTGTATCTCAGCTTCCTCATCTCCAGTGGGGATCCTAATATCCCCATCTCATGGGGCCACTGAGGAGATTAAAGTGCTCATGTACAAAGTGCTTAGGAAGATGCCTAGCACATAATTAGCACTTGATCAGCCTCAGCTACTATTGTACAAATGATGTCCAGCAGAATCTTCAGAATAAGATACTGTGAGGTAGTGGTTATTGGGCATGCGTGCGTGCTAGGTTGATTCAATCGTGTCTGACCCTTTGCAACTCTGTGGACTGTAGCCCGCCTGGCTCCTCTGTCCATGGGATTCTCCAGGCAAGAATACTGGAGTGGGTTGCCTAGGGGGTCTTCCCCACCCAGGGATCAAACCTGTGCCTCACATCGCCTGCATGGGCAGGCGGGTTCTTTACCACTAGCACCTCCTAGTGGTAGCGCCGCTGGAAGCACAGTGGTCTCCAATGCCAAATGGGCAAACGGAGGCCAAGGCTGCCCCTTGCCCACAACCACACAGCTGTTACGGAAAACAGAAGGACGTATCTGAACTTGACTAAAGCTCAAGGCAGAGCCAGTGCTTCCCCTAGGGTGACCAAGATTTGAAGGAAGTTCCCACACCCAGGGGTGGTTCCGAGGATCAGAGGAGGGAGCCACGGAAGGCCTCAGGCTGTGCATCTTTGTGTCCATGACCCCTACATTCTGGGACTGTGCTGATTTCCAATTCATGGGTTGCTCAGATTTTCGAAAAAAGCCTTGTAAATATCATGAATATGTTACTGATAACACAGTCGGGGTAATTATTCTTTGTGCAACCAGAATGGAGGCTACTAATTGACATATTTCAGCAACACAACACAGAACATGATTTGTAACAAAGCTCTTTGATTCCAGGACCTGTTTCTCAAAGAGTCGGTCACCATTTCACCTTACAGTGGGCACGTGTGCCATGGTTTGACTCAGAAGGGTGGCTGCAGCACCTCCCATTGTGCCTTTGGCTGCTCAGTGAAAGGAGCAGCGTGGACTCTGCGGAGCTCTTGAAGCCACACCCCTTTCCCCATCCTGCAGCCATGCCCTCGTCCAGACCTCTGCCGTGTCCCACCTGGACACTACGACAGCCTTCGGACAACTGTCCTCCCTCCTGCCTTCCTCCTCCAGTCTCTTCTCCACCCAGCAGCCAGAATGATTTTATTTTAAATTGGAGGATAATTGTTTCAGTGTGTATTGGTTTCTGTCCTACAATGGTGTGCATCAGCCATAAATATACATATGTCGCCTACCTCTTGATCCTTCCTCCCAACCCCCACCCCACCTCACCCCTCTAGGTTGTCCTAGAGAATTGGGTTGAACTCCCTGTGTTAACGCAACTTCCCACACACTATCTATTTTACATATGGTAATGTATATGTTTCAAAGCTACGCTCTCAATTCATCCACCCTCTCCTTCCCCCACTGTCCACAAGTCTGTTCTCTACGTCTGTGTCTCTATTTCTACCCTGCAAATAGGTTCATCAATACCATTTTTCCGGATTCCATATATATGCATTAATACACAATATTTGTTTTGAAGGTGTACCCTGGATCATGTCCTGCTTGCACCTCACCCTTCCCAGTACAGCCGCCGAAGCTCCTAGGGCCTGGCCCCTGCCCACCCCTCCAGCCTCATGTTTGCTTCCTGACACAGTCCATGCTGGAGCCACGCTGACATTCTGTTTCCTCCAGCACGCCGGGTTTCCTCTCTGGACTTCTGCACATGCCATTACATACCCACCCTACCCCTCTTCATCTAACATTCTCAGGGTGCCACTCCAGCATCACAGTTCTGTATCCCTTCAACTAGGTTAACCTGTCATGTTTTGTGGCTCCAGCCCTATCGTTCCTGATCATGACAGTCTTGTATCTGCTTGTTTGATTATCTCCTTCTCTCTTTCAAAATGTTCTCCAAGCTCTTCACCTGATTCTCCTTTAGACAGGTACTAAATGGTGCCTAGAACTCTGCTGGGTTTCCAGCAGAGGTGGGGTGGCTGGGCCGGGTGGGAGTAGCACGTGGTTTTTAAAAGTACAGCTTCGGAGCCAGAGAGAACTGGATTCAAGTGTTTTTCTCTGCCACCTGCTGCTGTCACCTTTGGCAGGATATTTCTCCTCCCAAGCCTCAATTTCACCCAGGAGAAGAAGGGGACGGAGTGCAGATATGTGTTTAACCCTGAGCCTGCCTCCATGTGAGCGCTGCATGCATGGTAGTTGAGGCGGGGGCAGGATTTCTGGGTCTCTTCTGGTCCCATCATGTCCTGGTTGAGTGGCAGCTCTGGGGTGCTTCATCTCAGGTCTACGAAACCCGCATAGCAGTGACTGCAGCACTCTGTGGGCTGTGGGCTCTGGAAGCCCCTGTCGTAATGCCGGGAATATTGCTAAGCCCTTAGTCTGCACTTGGTATTTTTAGGTATTTTATAATAACCATTACGGTTGCATTGACTCCTCCTGCACAGCCACATTCAGCGGACAAGTGAATGCAGAGGGGTCCCGTGTCTGGTGAAGCCAACAGACAACAGACGTGTTACCCTGCAGAGTGCCTGACCCAGCAGGGAGAGGCTCCTCTCCAGGGACTGGGAGCACCTGTTCACCTGGAAGACCTCCGCCCTCTTCTCTTCTGTGAAAAGAAACTCATCTATGGAGACCAGCTGCCTTGTATATTGCCTTTGGGTTCCTGGAAGCTTCTGGTTGGAGCAGAAGAGTGTATTTGGCATGTTTGCCCCTCCACTTCTGGACCCTGCACAATGACCCTGAAATAAACAAGAGAAAGCCTGTGCTCCACGATCCTCGCACGAGGAGTGACGCCACTGACCCATGGCTTGACCGAGAGAGAAGCTCAGAATTCTGCCCCACAGCGGATCTCAGAGACCCTCTCACGGATTGTAGACAAAGGATGGGGAAGAAAATCACTGGCATTTGGGTTTCATGAAAGATGATGCCCTGAAGCATCCACGGAGGCTTGGGAGGAACAGGGGATGAGGAAGTAAAAGGGTGCCAGGCCTGGGACACAGGTCATAGCTGGCACGTTGTGGGAGGTGATAGACAGGAGGCATTGTGCTAAAGAAGTAGGACCACTGGAGGGAGGACAAAGGGGCAGAATGATGGCTCAGTATCGCAAGTTCTAGGGGGTAGAGATGCCAGGAGGAGGAAGCGCAAGGGTTGGGTATCAGAGCGGTGACTGAGGAACGAAGACCAAGGGTTGGG